CTTAGCACTTTAAGTTTTAAAATAATCAGAAGCAAACTTCCTTATAATTAAGAAGTCTCCTCAACATATGAAGATTCTAAGAAAAAGTGAACAATACCACTTAAGACTCTAAATACTGACTGATTTAATGGTTTCAACTTCTAAATTTTTAAACATTAATGTATCCAGTGCTACTGTAGGCACTGACAATGAGGTTGTGAAGACCTTTCTTATATCTAGATCTAAAATGTCTCCCAAAAGTCTCATGCAATTAAAGGTGAGGCTTTTGGGAGATGATAAATTATGGGGGTGCTATTGTCATTAGTGGATTGACCAATTAGGTGAGTTCATGGTGAGATGATGTGCTGGAAGGAACCATGCCTTTGGAGGGTATGCCTCCCTCAACACATCCTCCATCTCACCAGCCCCACAGAAACAGATTATTATTATTATTATTATTATTATTATTTTTGCGGAACCGGGAATTGAACTCAGGCCCTTGCACTTGCCAGGCAAGTGCTTATTCTACTGAGCTATTTCTCCGGCCCCGAGCAGCTTTAACATTCTGCCTGGATATCTCTACCTTGGAGTCAGTGGATCAAGGACTAAAGTGGTGAACAAACTGAAGTTTCAGGGGTTGCGTCTCAGGGATAAGAAAGCTGACAAAGAAAACTTCACCATATGTTTTTAAAAGTTTATTCTTCATTTAGATTTGTAATTCTGATGAAAATGATATCTATAAAAGTGATTGTCCTTGAGAACCCACCTCATGAACAAAAGCATGAAGGCTAACAAGCATTGGTGACTGATAGTAGGTGCAAATGCCTTTGGAGTATTAACTTTGTAAGTATTTTTATTAGGATGGCTATTGGTTTCATTAGTCCTATAATTACAAAGTTGCTTTGATATAAGTGGTCCTGTTTACCTGTATACTCCAGAAAGCCCCATTATCTTAGGTGTGCAATATTGCAGCCTGAGAGATCCTTTAGAAAGGCAAATATGAATGTCTTGCACTTTTAAAGAAAACTATATGAAGTCTAGTTTGATGTTTGCCACATAGTATGTGCTTAATAAGTACTGTTTTCTCTTAGTCATCCTTCAGTTTATAAATATTTTGTTTTGACCCTGGAGTTGGGTTTTGTTTTCTGAACAATGTTTCTTTTAGTGACTTTGTAAATGAGTCTGATTGTTTAGATGAGAACTGCAAATGTCTTGAAGGTCAGTTTGAAGAAACACAGAGCCTAGCAGCCTTTCATCTTTCTGTCCTCTTAGGGGATAGCTTTTAAATGCTGACTGGGTGCTATATTCATGAGAAATCAGGGAGAGACTTTGAGGCCATTGTATGGAAAGTACACTTTTGATATGCTAATTGATGAGAGTAGCCTCCATTTTTCTTTGGCTTCAGAGAAAAGATGTTTCTCCCTGCAGCAGCCTAAATGTATGTCCCAGGAATGCAGAAATCAAGGAACAAGGTGATGTGAGATCTGCCCTAAGATACCAAGTGGTGATGTAATTCCTTCATAATAAGTGGGCAAAGTTTTCTTGCCTGAAAGCAGTGGCTCCTTTCCTGTGTTACCCTTAAAGAGCAGCCACCCTGATGCCTGAGGAAAGGGTTTCAAGGTTTTTTGACTTTTTGTTTTTCTTACGCTACATTAACTGGAGCAATGTAGAAAAAATCAAACATCAAGAATTAAGACAGAAACTAAGATTACTACAACAAATTCAAATGTAAGCCATATCAGGGATAGACTTTTTCAGTTTCTTTTTTTTTCTTTTTTACACAAGAATTACAGACCTTACAGCTTATCTCTAATTGAATATCAAATACAGGTTAGTCTGGCCTGAGGATAGTGAAACCCAATGTGACACTCAAAATAATATCAATCTATTTTTAGGGCAGTTTATATACTACAAATAGAAATCATTCATTCATATTAGAGTAACCTCCCTAACACCAATATCCAGTTTTAAATAACAACAATGAAACAAACAAGCAGGCGCCTTGAAGATCTGGAACCTCCTCATATGCTATGTTCCTTTTCTTTTTTTTTTTTTAGGTAACACCAAATTTGTTTAATTATCTTAGAAGCATTAACATAGCATCAGCAAGAACACACGTAGGATGTAACTGAACTTACGTCTCACATCTTGGTTTTGTTTGTAAGTGTTCCATAGCACTGCTATTTTTTTTTTTGCACTGCTATTACTTACACTTGGCTTTAGAAATTTTGCAGTTATGCTTTATTTATTTATTTATTTTTTCCAAAGTTTTATTGATAAATAGATGGCAATGAGACAGTTTCAAATCAAATCGGAAGTACAGTTTCAACAAATAATACACTGCTTATATTCTTCTTAGTGGTTAATTGCTGTACAAGATGCGGACTTGAGATCCTATTTACAAACACCATTAGAACAAATCATTCTATTCATTAAGAGAACGCAACTATATATCTATCCTAATCACTTTGAATACACAGATACAAAATGGACATTCATCCATATACCCCATTTTTTCTAAGTTCCGTTATTGAATATTATATGTTCCTTTTCTTGCCAACAACCTTTCTACACTTAAATTTCTGAACCATAATGTCTTTCCACATGCTATCATCATTCCTTTGTCTAGAAAGCTCTTTATTTATCTATATTATCATCGAATACATTTTTGTTTGATACACTCTCAAATATCCTGAAAGTTTCAGGAGAGGAAGCCACTCAGTACTGTACCCACAATACCTAGTGCTAATAAGCAGCCAACAAAAACTTAAGAGACTTTGAAAAGAAGTTTTGGCTGGATGTGGTTGAGCACACCTGTAATTCCAGCGCTCAGGAAGCTGAGGCAGGAGGATCACTTCAAGTTTGAAGCCAACCTGGGTTACGCAGAGGGTTCAAGGTCAGCCTGAACTGTCAGGGGTAGCTAAGCTAGTGATCAAGCCTAGAACATGGAGTACCTGGGGAACACGCTGACATCATCAAGTACCCCAACTGAACAGGTGTCCCATCCCCAAGAATACAGATGTGAGAGGTGAGCTAATTGTTAGGCCAAGGGTTTCACCTGACATGAACTTGCTGAATGTATAAATAAACTCACTGTGGTGGTTGAACAGTTCCTTTCCTCCAATCTGGGCAGAGGGCACCACCGGATCTCAGCTTTCTGTCTTAGCTTTATTTCTCCATCCTCTCAGGAACCTTCCCCCTGAGAACTTGGAGAGCTGTGTTGGACAGGGCTCTAAAGTACACAGTGAGACACTGTCTCCAAATCAAAACAAACAAATAAGTAAATAAACAGAAGCTTTAGCATGTAACTTAAATATCATCTTCTTTAGGAAAGAGGCCTTGAGCCTCTGACACTTGGTTAGTTACCTCTTTCATGTGCTCCACGGGCTACCTGTCACTTCCAGTAGCCTGAGATTCTAAAGGCCAGAAATCTATCATCTTTAGCCTTCTGACCCACAATACTTTTAGTATGTGTTATACTCTAAGGAGCTCAAGAAATAGAAATTATTGAGCAGTGATTAAACTTGTAGGGCCCTCAACTGTACCCACATGTCTCATACAGGAATTACATGAAAGCATTAGATAAATGGGTTACTTAACATTTCAGCAGGGGTGACATCTAGATAGAATAAGTGATGAGTGCAGTGCGTCAAATTTAAAATTTACGTGTAATTTTAAGTCACACAGGAACTAACAAAGAAATTTGACCTTTCAGGTTCCTTGTCCACCCCATCTGGGAGCAGGTATTCACTCTTCCTTGTTGTCCTTGGGCAGTTTACCACTTAAAGAGTAGTCATTCCTGCATTGTTAAAAATGGATTTAGTGACAAAGACAAAGCTGGGATTAAACCTGTTTTCAGATATCGAAGGATCTGTCACTCTAGGGTTTAAGTTTGTTTCCCGCCTATATCATGGTCAAATTGATCCTAATGCACTCTGAATAAATATGTTCAGATATAAATTCAATTCAGCATGAAAGACTTCAAGTTGAACAAGGCCAAGGCAAAAGGAGTCCTAACTGGATAATACCCTTGATGATATCATCAATAACAGGTATATAAACATGTTCATGTATGCTGTATAAATTTGCATTGTAGTAGCTTTGCTAGCAATGGACTCTTTTCCTGTAACGGTGCTTCACTCAGATTCTGCTCTGCCCCTCTAATGTTTTCCATGTCTAACTTGATTTCTGAGGGCACTTTTTAAATAGGATGAAACAAATATAGTATAGGTCTTTGTGAGGACAGAATCCTAGGAACAACTCAAGGACCCTGCTCCTGGAGCACAAAAACACCGAGTACAATATTTGTCTAAGGATTTACATGTCAAACAAAACTTTGGCACACAAGATCTTATTCACTCACTAATACAATCCTAAACCTAAGATAGTTGGGAAACTGAACATAACCCAGTTCACTTGTAAACAGTGCTCTGGGGATTAAGGGGTGGTTTCCTGCTGCTTCTACTGCTGGGCCATGGGCATTGCAAGAAGAAGAACTGTTTTTCTTAGGTCACCCAGCAATCCTGGCAACAGAAGCACCCACTCTTTCCCCTTTGACCCAGTCTGTCTAGGGCCAACAATTAACCAGCACTCCCAATGGTCTCCCCAGAGGCTGCCAGTTGCCTTGCGAATTAAACCTTCCCTTAGAGGGTGGCCAGATCACACCGTCCGCCCGTGAGGCTTCAGCCCTGGAGGGAGCGGTGGCCTATGCCAGTGGAAGCTGACACTCCGGTCGCGCAGCCAGTGAAATACAAGAGAATTCTTCTGCTCCTCAGTTTCCTCATCTCTAAAATGGACTAGCGAAGTTCTCCGCGGATCTCTTCCCTCCCATTTCACAGTAGGCTAGTGGGAAGTGAAATCAGTGCTTAACCACAGCTGCAAGTCATCTGCGAGGCTCGGGTCGCGGCTCCGGGCATGCTCAGTAGCCGGGCCAGCTCGCACGGAGTAGGAAGCGGCTTTCCGCGCCGGGGCGGTAGATTGTAGGCACTTTGATGAATCACGTGCGTCGAGGCCCTCTTAAAGAGATAGTCACCTAGTTTCCCTCTACCCTAAACACCGCCCCGGGGCGGCGGCGACCGTGGTAATTGCAGCTGTTTGGGGCAGGGCTTGCCCCAGCGCCGAGTAGTGGCCACACGGAGGTTGTCGGGACTGCTGAGGAGCCGGTGGCTTGAGTTCGGCCGCTTCCTGGCAGGCACACTCTCCCTAAGGAAGCCGCGCTGCCGAATCGGTGCGGGCAGCCTGAGCACCCCAGGGGCTTCTTCAGCGGAGGAGAGGTGGGGTTACAGGGCACAGGTGACAGGGCCCGAGAAAGATGGAGCAGTCCGGGGCGGCGGCGTCGGGAGCGGGAGGCGGCGGCGAGGAGCCCGGCGGGGGCCGGAGCAACAAGCGGAGCATGGGAAACCGGGCCTCCAACGAAGAGGAAACGAAAAACAAACCCAAATTGGTGAGTGCTCCCGCAGCCCCCGCCGACCTTGGGGATGAGGAGCGTCCCGGGATCCCCCTGCCGTTGAACACGGGGACTCGGGGGCCCCCTCCAAGGGTGACCGCGACCTCACAGTGCCACTCTGGGAGCCGCTGAAGGAGCGGCCACCCCGAGGCGCGGAGACGGCGTGGGGGCGGAAGAGCACCCCTTCTCCACCTAACCCTTTCTCGCTCGTCAGCCTGTGAGGCAGCGTGGGAAGGAAAAAGTCCCCACCCCAATTTGGGGAGACCTGGAATCCTAGAGTACTGGGTAGGGCTGTTGGTATAACTTGTGCTCAGCAACCTTCTTTGCGCGATTCCATTTCCCTCCCTCCTTTTGTTAGTGACTGTTTTGCTTCCTAACACTTTGGACCGGGGCAGGGGACCCACCCTGCTTCTCAGTCCGAATACTTGCGAGCCCACTCACAGCCGAGCAAATCAAGCAAATCACAGTGGAGACGCCCTCCACCCCCACCCCTGTCCTTCTACTTCACCAGAAATCTAAGGAACAGGCGCCTACATGCGGGTTTTTTTTTCCCCTTGCCTCCCTCTCCATGCGCTCTCCGGAGAAACATTTCTTTGGAAAAGTGGGGGTAGGTTTGGAGTCAGTTGAAAGCTGAGTGAGGTACCACCAACCGTCCTGTGTGTGTGTGTGTGTGTGTAATAGGCACAGCCACACAGTACTTCCACTCACTTGATTAAGAACGCTGAAAAGCAGTAAGCAGACTGCAAGTTTCACAGTCCTGAGAGTGTGAACCAGCGGTAGCAGTCCATTTCCTTCCACTGAACACACCGAGAGAAATACTATAGATGGGGCCTGGTATTACATTAGGAAATACTGGAGTTTCCTCAGCTCATCAGTTAAAAGGGTTCCTCTTTTTGTAAACTTTCTAATTTGAGTGGTATGAGGGGAAAGGGTTCTGCACAAATACAGCAGATATTAGTACTCTTTATAGCTGAAGATGATTATTGGTCCAGATCTGAAGCACAAGCCACGTGTTGCATGTCTAAATTTGAGTTTTAAGCAGCAACTTTATTATAATAGATGAGACAGGGTGAAATGGTGATATATTAATAGCTCAAGCCATTTCCTATGACATCTGGCCACTTGGTATGGACCCATTGTATTTCTCTGTCAGGTCCTATTTTCAATTACAGGCTGCTTCTATTGGAAAACAGTAGTCAAAGCTTTATTGTTTTAGGAAATGTTTCAGCCTGTCATTGTATGGAAAGGGACTTATGTAGATTAATGACAAATTTAAACTCTCATCAGTTCCACTCTAATTTGAGGCAAATTGAGAGAATGCTTACAATGATAGGTCCTGTTATCTAAAGATTTGCAAATGAAAAAACTGAGTTCTGGGCTCAGTTTGACTTGTTTTGGTAGCAGAAGATTGATAGATATAATGGGTATCTGAACCATTGTGAAACTGAGAAGTTTTGTGAGTCTGTTGTTAAGAGCTCAGTGTATTTCAATTTCTGATGTGATTTTGAAATTTATCAGTTTGTAGTACTAGAGAGATGGTCCTATTTCCTTTTCCTTTTTTGTGCCCCTATACAACACTGGTCTAAACAGTAATCAAAAGTTTAAATAAGAATAAAAGTTAACCAAAATAAATAAATAAAAGTTAATTTCCACAGTCAGTTTGATATTCCTAGCAAGAACCCTCCACTTTAAGGATACTCCCAAGATAAACCTTTTGTCCCTGTTGCTAATAACACCTCCCTTTCCTTTGACTATTTGTCCTGTTCCATCTTTTATGTTTTACTTGCTTTGACAAGGTAACCAGATAGTTATGAGATAGTATCACTTTCAGTTTGTAACTAACTTCTCTGTTCCATGTTGAACATGGCTTAATGTAGTAGAACAAGAATTTGAAGCCAAGATGAGTAGCAACATGAATTTTTTTTCCTCAAACATAACTTTTGAGCTTTACATGCTTTTATAAGCAGATGTGTGAGAGCTAATAAAAACAAACTTAGGAATCCTCATAGCACACTGGAAGGCAAACAAGTTGACCAAGTAAGACTTGGTAAGCTTTCTAGGAGAAACTTCAGCTGGGGTTAATTTTTTTTTTTTTTTTTTTTTTAGTTTTTAGTTTTTGTATAAGTGCCTGCCTGGCACATGCAAGGTCCTGAGTTCAATCCCCAGTACCAGAAAGAAAAAAAAAAGTTTAGTTTTTATTAGTATATGTTTGCAGTACATAATGTTTACATACCTTCTGTGGAGTTAGTACATGGCCATCTTAATTCCTTTTCAGTCCTCTTCCTTTCCCCACCCCCTTCTCTGCATTTCTTGGTCCCCTTCCTTTTTACAAAAGATTTTCTCCATATTTCCTAATACCATTTAGTTTACTCTTTAATTATGTTGTTCATTGAAGTATTTAAGCTTATGTGGCTGATTTATTTCATTTAACATTATGGTTTCCAGGTATATCTATTTTTGTACAAAGTTGTTCATTCTCCAGGTTTCTCATTCTTTGTGGCACAGTAGCAATGCTGATGGACACATAGGCTGTTTGCAAGATTTTGCCATTAGGAACTGCAGCGCTATAAACATGGGTGTGCATGTATCATTCTAATATGATGTCTTTGTGTCTTTTAGAAATATCATTAGAAGGGAAATAGCTAGGTGGGATGGAATTTCTAGTTTTAGTTTGTTGAGGAGTCACCATACTGATTTTCATAAGGGCTATATTATAGTCCATCCCTACCAACAGTATAGAAGAGTTCTTTTTTTTTTTTTTTTTTAAGGGAGGTTTATTTTTTGTTTTTGGCGCCGAGGCTCCAACCCAGGGCTTCCAGCTTGCTAGGCAAGCATTCTGCTACTGAGCCAAATCCCCAGCCCCTAGAAGGGTTCCTTTTTCGTGTATCCTTGCCCGCATTTATTGTTATTTGATTTCCTGATAATACCCATTTTTTTCTGGAGTAAGATGGAATCTGGATTATTAAAGTTTTCTGCTAAGGTAAAACTTTAGACTATGTTTTATTAATTTAAATATTACACACACGCTGGGGATACTCAGCAGCATAAGCGCCTGCCTGGAAAGCACAAGATCCTGAGTTTGATCCCCAGTACTGCAAAAAAAAAAAAAAAAAATCTCTATAATCGTCTACAATTGTGTATGTAAAGGGATATAAAAGAGACCGTATGGTAATAAAAAATTTTGTGTGAGTGGTTGTGGCAGATGAGTTCTTAAACTCTTCAAAAATGAATATATGTTCATTTTTCTGGCTCCATATATTTCATCATTTCTCAAAGATATTCATCATCTATAGGAAGAATAACAACTATTGCAATACCATAGAAAGGCAGTAAAGGAAACGACAGTTGATTCCACCCTCAGTTGGGGAGAAAGTCAGTGGTGAGGGGAACAGGGAAATAGTACAGACCACAAGGTTGGTTGATATTGAAGCAAACTTTAGGATAAAAAGAAATTCAACTATGCTTTATCTATGTAGGATTGACTAGGAACAAAGTTTCTACTGCATAGAAAATTCAGTCACTCTAGTAGATTGGATTCATAAATGTAAGGCTTATGATTCAGTTGTTATTTAGTTTGTCATGCTTCTGAAACCTAGGGATAGAAAGTATATTACCTATAGACGAGATCCACTTTCATTTATATTCTTCTTTTTTTTGTAGGTATTGAACTCAAGCCCTTTGTACCCAACTAGATCTCTACCTCTCTACCTCCCCACCTTTTAAACTATGAGATGAGGTTTTGCTAAGTTGCTCAGGCTGGACTCAAACTTTCCATCTGCTTGCCTTAGTCTTCCAGAGTGCTGAAATTATAGGCATGCACCACCACACCTAGTTTACCTTTGGTGTTTTGATGGCTGTTAAGAATTTTTTTTTCCCAGTGGCCTTTCAGGTCTGCAATGACTTCTAGCTGAGGTTAACTAAATAAAAAATTAGCAGAAGTCCTTTCAGTTTCCTTCATATATGCCTCTGAATAATGACGCTTTTATTTTGATTATTTTGAAGACAGGCAATCTTGTCTAGAACATATAACATTTTGAATAATGCATTCATGGTAGAGTTTTGGATTTTATGTAACTCTTTGGTTAGGCCTTTAAACAGCATGAATCTTAGATTAATTACTAATTCGATGAAAACTATATATTTTGTTAAATTGGGTAGGAGAGGACTCTGGAAGTGTTGTGAATGAACTACATGTTGATTCTCACATATTTAAAGTGACTTAACTAAGAGAGGCCGCTGTGGGTAGAATTAATACCACACACACAATGATTGGTATAAGTGTGGCTTGACCACATTTGATTGTCTGTTTTTTGTTTTGTTTTGTTTTTTAAGTAGTGCAGATGAAAGTCAGGCCTTCTCACTGAGGTGTATCTTTTTTTTTTTTTTAGAATTTTGTCAATTCACTCCGTTGTCCAGGCTTATTCAAATTTTTAATCCTCTTGCCTCAGCCTCCTAGAATGCTGGGATTACAAGTCTGCACCATAATGTTTTTCCATTTTGACTTTGTATTTATGTGTAATTTCTGAATCCTTTGTTCCTTTATACAGGGAAGTCATATTTGTAGCTTTAAATAACACAAGTTAAGTTTTCTGATTATCATATAACTTCCTGAGTATTTGGTGATTTACAATGAAATGAATAATGTTTTTCCTTTAAATAGGTTCTAAGCACAATGATTTGCATTTCTGCAGCATGTTAACTGAGTACTTACTGTGTGCTAGGCACACTTCTAAGGCTTGGCATTATGAAGATGCTCATAGTATAGTGAAAACACCCAGGGAAGTGAATTAATGATGAAAACATGGTTTGATAAGTTACAGGATAAAAGGGTGTTGTGAAAACATCATAGATAGGCACCTTAATCAAATTGTATGCTTGAGTGAAGTAAAGTAAGACTTACAGTTGTGGCATTTGTACTGGGATTCAAAAATTGGGGAGGTAAAGATATTCTAGGTTGAAAATAGCAAGGTATAGAAAGGTAGATAGATATGGAGATG